TTGTATTTTTATTTTATCTTCTATTTTAACCAACTTTCGTCTGTCACATTTGACTGAGGATGTCTTTTGAATAAAGACGAAACGTCTCAAACAGAAAATAGTCGATTTTCATGATGAGAAAGGTTGTGTATCTCTCATCATTCTTATTGACGAAGTAATGGCATTTTTACTTTTTCTTTTCATTTTCCGACGCCAAAGTTTTATGCTAACGAGGGAACCTCCACAGGTTGAAAATCGCTTTCGGTCTAAAAGCTAGTGGGTCAGAGGTAATCAAGGGTGCTGATTCCGAATATAAAAATGATTTTGACCGATAGATCTTCAGAGATCGGAATTCTGGAAAAACAGTTTTTCAAAACTCTTAAAAAATAACCCAAACCTTTGTTAATGAGGCAGGATTGTAGTTCGCAGATTCCTGATTAAAATGAGACCCCTCCGAGCTATGCACGATCTTTCTTCGCAAAGTTGTAGAATTTACAAGAAAAGCCCTAAATTAATTTCTTCGTATTTCTGTAGCTTTGAGCTGACAATGAACATTTAGGGCTTTTCTTGCAAACTCTATAACTTTTCAAAGAAAGATTGTGCAGAGCTCGGGGAGGTCTCATTTTAATCAGATTATATTTTTTAGGAGATTTGAAAAACTGTTTTCCCAGAATTCCGATCCCTGAAGATCTATCGGTCAAAATGATTTTTATATTCGGAATCAGCACCCTTGATTACCTCTGACCCACTAGGTTTTAGCCCGAAAGCGCTTTGCAACCTGGAAAGATTCCCTCGTAAGCACTCTCAAAAAACCTTGCTGTATCTTTGAAGCCTACGGTACGATAAGGCTAAACTTGGGATTTATAAGTTTTCGCGTACACTCTACAAGATAAGAGCGTTTAGGAAATTATGTAAGATCGTCATTCAGCGTGAGTGCGCGTGATTCTCGTGCAGTAACTCCTACGTTGAGGGGCTACCGTTGGACAATTCACGGAAGCGTTTTGGTTGCATGTTATACTTGGCAGTGATAGAATTTGGGAGCAATTGAGGACCATTGAATTATTGTGAGCCAATGCTTGATTTTAGACTAAATCCAAGAAGAAACTAAGACTTTTATCCATGTAACATATCGTTTGAAAATTCGTTTTAACGCGGTTTTAGCATTCATAGAGCGCGAGAATATACAGTTTCATCATAAATACGGCGAATTTCTTGAGCTTCGAATATACGTCTTAATCAAAATCGAAGTTTTTGTCATCAATAATTCGCGAGAAACGTGTTTATGACCATCATAACTTTTTAAAAACACGTTTTGAGTCGCAGCAGACTTTAAGACTCGCGAATGATACCGAATTTTTCGTGTTTAGGACTCAATTGAAACAAATTTAACGCGTTCTGGCTAGAAATAAAACTTAAGAACAATAAGAGAGATTTTCAAACGACACAGATTAACTCTATTTCAGAAAATCATTACTGGGAAAACATCATCTGTTCTAAAGAGCCTTGTTATCTTCATCACCGCCTACATCTCTTACATACTCATTACAAAGTCGAGATAGACAGCTTGTTCCGATTCAACGTTGCCAGTTAAATATAGTTTATGAATCATTAATCTTTCGAGCATCTCGTGAATACAATGAGCTTCCGCTTGAGACAAGACTTATGTTTAATTTAAATAAATTTAAAAATCTTTTGATACCAGCAAAATCAAATTTACCTTTAATCAATCGAAGAGATATTGATATTCACTACTGTCGCCTTAGAGTCGGATTTTTTCAATTGAATAGTGACTTATTCGACAAAGGTCTCGTGCATGATCATCTTGTGAATGTAATAGTCTAATAAAAGAGACTGTTTACTATCACAAGGACTCATCCAGGTCTACGACATTGAGTTTAGCCTCATTCAGGGCCACGACGAATAATGGATAAAATAACAACAGCTTTTCCAATTTTTCGGAGGGGTGCGCATCTCTTCCACACTCTCCCGGTATCTGCATCCCTGGCCTCGCCAATCTCAGACATAACGCACTTTCGAAAATTTCTTTTTTGATCATCAGTAGCACTCGCAGTACTGTATCAGGTGTCGTACTTCAACTGAACACAGAATGTGTACACACAATGTGGAAGGTGAGGGAAGCGCGTAAAAACGAATTTTCTGAAAAAAAGCGCGTTTAGCTTCAAAGTATCGCGCCAAACTCTGTTTACGAAAAATTTAGTGCGTTTAACGCAACCTATGATTACCTCAAACGCGAGTCTCGCGCTTTTTTTTCAACGGCCTTCTCGCGGCAAGTTTTCCGTAAACAGAGTTTCGCACGATATTTTGAAGCTAAACTAGCGTTAAACAAATTTCCAAAAGATATAGGTGATTCACTCGCTATGTATGTTAGACAAGATTCCAATTTATCCGTTTCTATTCAGTCAAAGCATACTCGTCCGTTGCGCAACTATCTCTCAAATAATAGTGGAGTCTCAAAAAACGTCAAGATCGTTCTCAACGGTCAATAAACTTCTACCGATTTCATTTTGTATTTAGTGCTAGTTCCTTGTGCTACCACGTACTGGATCATTTCCAGTATCACAATCACAATCATGGCAAGAATATTTTATCACATATCTCCCTTCTTTCTCTCTCAGTCGTTCTTGCTTCACATGCTTGTCAATATTTACACAATCCATGCCTCAAAACAGAATGTTTCTAAATTTATAGTAGTCATTCGAAATCCTGCAAGTCAGAAGTAACAAGCGAAAAAACAAAACATTCATCAAATTCTTCTCTCCCATAAACAACCACACAAAAAGTGAAAATTACACAAACAGACACTGTTTACCGCAATGGAAAACACATCCACTTCTAATTCAAGATTTACTGATCTCGGCGAAGAACCATACAAACTCTTATTGCCCATTGAAGGCTACCAACATATGGAACTGATGTCACTCGAAGATGCGGTTCGACCACTCCATCCCCTAGTTGACAATTTAGCAAGAAATGTGTGGATTGCAAAAGATAACTGTAAATCACCGTCTGATTCTCTAACAGTTGACCAATCGGCATCAATCCATCTGTACACCATGGAGTGGAAACCAAGCAGTAATAGTCTCTATTCCATTCTCAATCGAACACTAAGGAATGAGGATCGTGACAGTTTGATTCCATGGTTTCCATACCTCAAACTATTTCTCACAGCTCTTCACAACATACCGTCTGCCGACGGAGTGGTATATCGAGGAAGCAATGCTCGTTTGAACATGAAGTTCAACAGAGGTGACAAATTTGTATGGTGGGGTGTTAGTTCATGCACAGAATCGCTAGATGTATTGAACAAAGACCAATTTCTTGGCAAGACGGACACCAGAACACTCTTCAATATCCAGTGCCACAATGCAAAGAAGATTCAGTTACATTCACATTATAAACACGAAAATGAAGTTCTTCTAATGCCAGGAACATACTTTGAAGTAAAAAGTATCGCAGATGATGACTCGAACTTACACATTATTCATGTTGAAGAAACAACTCCACCGTATGTGCTTTGTGCGTCCCCAGTCGACAAACAATCATGCAAACACCAGCGACTAGAACCACAATTGCAAAAACTTGATTTCACTTCGGAACTAAAGCTGCAGGAGACCGCAAATGACGAAGAAGACGCGCAAGTATTGGCAGACGCATTGAAACTGAATAAAACTCTCACCACTCTTAATCTCCGTGGGCAAAAAATATCGAGGAGGTGAAGCATTCGCAGACGCATTGAAAGTGAATAAAACTCTCACCACTCTTCATCTTCGATACAACAAAATATCTGATGGAGGAGGTGAAGCACTCGCAGAGGCATTGAAAGTGAATAAAAGTCTCACCACTCTTAATCTTGAGTCGAACCCAATATTTGTTCGAGAAGGTCAAGCGCTGGCAGAAGCATTGAAAGTGAATAAAACTCTCACCACTCTTGATCTTCAGTCGAACCAAATATCTGATGGAGGAGGTGAAGCACTGGGAGAAGCATTGAAAGTGAATAAAACTCTCACCACTCTTGATCTTCAGCTGAACGAAATATCTGTTCGAGGAGCTGAAGCACTCGCAGAGGCATTGAAAGTGAATAAAACTCTCACCACTCTTGATCTTGGATGGAACCAAATATCTGATGAAGGAGGTCAAGTACTGGCCGAGGCATTGAAACTGAATAAAACTCTCACCACTCTTCATCTTCAGTCGAACCAAATATCTGTTCGAGAGGGTGAAGCACTCGCAGACGCATTCAAAGTGAATAAAACTTTCACCACTCTTAATCTTGAGTCGAACCCAATATTTGTTCGAGGAGGTCAAGCGCTGGCAGAAGCACTGAAAGTGAATAAAACTCTCTCCACTCTTAATCTTACAGTGAACTATCTGATGGAGGAGGTGAAGCACTGGCAGAAGCACTGAAAGTGAATAAAACTCTCATCACTCTTCATCTTCGGTCCAACCAAATATCTGCTCGAGCAGGTGAAGCACTGGCAGAGGCATTGAAAGTGAATAAAACTCTCATCACTCTTAATCTTGAGTCGAACCCAATATTTGTTCGAGGAGGTCAAGCGCTGGCAGAAGCACTGAAAGTGAATAAAACTCTCTCCACTCTTAATCTTACAGTGAACGAGATATCTGATGGAGGAGGTGAAGCACTGGCAGAAGCATTGAAAGTGAATAAAACTCTCACCACTCTTCATCTTCAGTCGAACCAAATATCTGTTCGAGGAGGTCAAGCGCTGGCAGAAGCATTGAAAGTGAATAAAACTCTCACCACTCTTGATCTTCAGTCCAACCAAATATCTGATGGAGGAGGTGAAGCACTGGCAGAAGCACTGAAAGTGAATAAAACTCTCACCACTCTTAATCTTCGGTCGAACCAAATATCTGTTCGAGGAGGTGAAGCCCTGGCAGACGCATTGAAAGTGAATAAAATTCTCACCACTTTTCATCTTCGTAGGAACTAAATATCTGATGGAGGAGGTGAAACAGTGGCAGAGGCATTGAAAGTGAATAAAACTCTCACGGCTCTTAATCTTAAAGCTTAATGGTGTACATGTGAGATGTTAATGTTTTTGTTTCTATGTATTAATTACTTTTACACATTTTATATTGTGAATACGTTTCTTTTTGATATTATATGGTATAAATGAGATGTCGGAGGTTTAATAGAAGGAAGAATTGGTTGGTTTCGTTTTATGCGTGGCAGTTCTTGTGCTCGTTGCCGTGTTGTCGGTGATGCACTGTAATGTCGGAAAGGATCGGATCTCTGTCGCTCAGCCAATTCCCTTTTCTGCCAATGGCGTTTTGTCACTTAGTAGAAGGTCATGGACGTTCTGCCAATTGGCAGAACTGCCTCTGACACTCGGCCAGTTATAAAATGTTTTTGATCGTCAGCTCAAATTTATTATTCTCCATCGCTGATAATACCACCTCAAATGAATTTGCTGTGCTTATCGACGTTTCATCAAGATCTTTAGCACGATTTAAAATTCTTCTTGAGCGCACGATTCATGAAATAACCTACCAAGAATTTGTAGAACCAAGTTTGATTTTCTCGCAAAAATCTCGGTTGAAAAGTTCGAAAAATATCAAATTTTTCTCAAAATCCTGAAACTCACATTAATGAAATGTTTCAGACCTTCGAAATGGAATGGGAAATGATTAGAGTCACTTTTGTGAAAGGACGACTTTTCTCTGTTTTTGCATCCTTTTCGTATTTTGCGTTTTTCACCGGGAAGAAAAGGTTCTGGAGCCAAAATAAGGTTCTACAAATTCGAATGTCTGTGGTAGTTCACCAAATGATTCGCATGTTCGACAACATTCTGAGCAACCTTACTCAGCACATGCAAAAACAAACAGTCTAAAAGAGGACAAAAACACTGACCAAGTCTGACAAGCCTCTGATGTATCTGCTCTTCACAACTACATGCGCAAACAAATTCTACTTCATAACAGACGTCAAGGTTATTTCATGAATCGTGCGCTCAAGAAGACTTTTAAATCGTGCTAAAGATCTTGATGAAACGTCGATAAGCACACAAATTCATTTGAGGTGGTATTATCAGCGATGGAGAATAATAAATTTGAGTTGACGAAAACCTGATCAAAAACATTTTATAACTGGCCGAGTGTCAGAGGCAGTTCTGCCAATTGGCAGAACGTCCATGACCTTCTACTAAGTGACAAAACGTCATTGGCAGAAAAAACCATTCTAGAATTGGTGCTTGCCTAGATGTGTTAATCTCGCGTAAACGTTTTTTAGGACATCCTAAATGAATAGTCTCATTCGACAGAGAAGACAACTATGCATAATTTATGCTAAGGAATCATCTAATTATAACTTAAAAGACGGATAGAAGATGAGAAACACTTTTATAGATAAATCCCGTGTGTTTGGCACGGACTGTTCTAGTTACCCCACCCATTTACACGTACTGTTCTATGGCGCTTCAAATTCAAAGGTAGAGCAGTGTTTTAACACATCTAGGCAAACACCAATTCTAGAATTGTTTTTTTGGTACATCTTCGAAAATAATTGTATCTCTCAAATAATTTGTTACAAGTTTTTATCCACAATGTAGCATTGTATCGTGGGCTTTTCTCTGTCATTCAAAATAAACGTCAGAGAGATAATTCTCGCGTATCACAAACTCTATGGATCAATGATCGTGAAGAAATAGTGGAAGAGGTAAGGGCGACAATCGTTGATTTTACCGAAGTAGAAGAGAGAGATACAATTGTTGAATCACCGTTGAAAGAAAAGAAGAAACAACGGTAGCCTTTGCTGAACTGCCAAAAAGGAATAAATCTGTAAAAGCTGAATATCGTAATTTGGACGATATTGACGAAGAATCGTCTTGACAACAATGGGAAAAAAATCCACGCTTTAAATTAGATGTTTCTTGCTGATCAAACGAAATCTTTGAACTTGTTCACTTTAAGTTAACACTTGATTAAAATGTAGCCTAGCTTGTATCTGACAAAAAGGGAATTGACGTACTAAAGCAGATTCTTCGACGACATTGTCTGGTAAATTTGTTTAGCAATTGTTGTCTCTCTTTCATAATAGCGTACTCTCTAAAAAAAATAGGCATTTTAAAAAACCTAAAAAGGGTTCGGGAAACTGCAAATATACGGAACCCTTTAAAAGGTTTAGTAAGGGGTTTTTTGACCTGTACTAAACCGTTTTCAAATTTCAGTTGCAA